CTCATAGCGAGACGTAGTTCGCCAGGCATGATAATCTCATCGCAAGTGGGAAGTTTACACTTCGCTCCCCCTCTAGAGTCCGGTGCCATTTCTATGAAGAATAACGGCTGCGTCGGGGGAGGAGAATTGGCCGGAGGATCACCGGGGGTTGGTCCAAGGCCAAGGTGTTGACGAAGGAGCTTTCTCTCCATTTCCAGTGTATCTAGCTTCGCATTCGGTGGGAAAGACATGTTGACGCTCTTGATGTCTTCTTTGAGAAGAGCTGCTTTGGAAAGGATGGGATTTAATTATGGTAGATTATGTGATAACGGAAAAGTATGCCTAGAAAATAGCAGTACATACAGAATAACTTATGGAGGGAAATGTAGAAGAGAAAAAGACAGCTGAAACAGTGGAGCGCTGAGCGACGATGCTGCGCAGGATTACTGTAGCGCCTTCAGCGCAACGACCGGCTTCAACTTACGCATCTCTATTGGCTAACATCTGACCCACCCACATCAGCGAGATCTCTGAACCCAAAGTGTTCATTATTTTCAGCCGCCATCAATTCCGGGACCCGGATGGCGAAGGCTTCCTCGGATGCGCTCGCACTAGCTAAAGATGCCGCTATTGGCTTTGCCGAAAAATATTCTGCACAGCAGAAAAATTGACAGAAGGATACACATTAATGTCAATATGTAGCTCGAAGGTCAACCCGAACTCGCTAAAGAACGCAGCGTACCGGGACTTAGGTTGTCACGTGGCTATCTGCTGTTCCCGTAAGATAGTCACTAACCGTAGGATCTCGTACGAGCCCCGAAGCTAGAAACGTAATTCGGATTGCGGTAATTGGATTACTTCCCTAGTACTGGGTACTGACGTGGTAAGCGCAAGGCTTGGCAGGTTGAAGGCGTGACGAGTGCACAGATGACTAAGCGTTGTTCGAGTTCTCCCGTGACAGTATCGTGACGAGCAGTGGTTTACCAATGGGCTTGTAGTTGAAGTACGGCCACCTACTACACGCATGTAGTAACTGTAGAGTAGTTCGGACGAGTGGAGTCTAGCAAAGGTATACTCTGCAATGACAATTGATATTGAACGCGAAGAACTAAGAAGTAAACTAAGTACATGTGCGAGAATGAGCGTCCTTATATCCTCCTGGTGGCTACTGGCAGCCACGGTAGCCGTAGCTACTGTTTGGTAGCTAAGCTACTGCTTCAGTAGACGAGCTACTGTTACGTGACCTAGCGGGCGGTTGGTTTCTGCCGTAGCTTTCTGAGGTATCGTATTGTCTCACGCCCGATTGGTTCATGAATGATTGGCTGTCGTTGCTCCTTAGCGAACAGAGGCTACCGCCGTAACATAGGTTTCTTTGATGCAAACTAAGCAAACACTTAGTCAACATCTAGATCTGGCTCTTCCTTGGAGGGTCTTTCCCGATTCCGCGATTCCCAGGCATCTGGGACATAATTCCTGATTCGTGGGAACGGTAGTGGAGTTCTCGCGAGCCGCTGCCGCGCTCCCACGGTTTCAAGTACCGTGAGGTGCATTTGGACAGGTTTCCCTTTGGTCGTGCCCGATTGGGTTTAGCGCTTAGACCTCGATCACTGAGCCCTGGGCAAGTTGCGGGTGTGTCACGGCATCCTTTTGTTGCGGGGTGTTTGGTTGGCTGTCGTGGCCCGGTGATTCTGCCTAGCGTAGCCGCCCTCAACTTGTCGTTGGTAGTGTCATAATAGCCCGGTGGCTTGAGCGAGTGAGGTACACTAGGTTGCAATAATGGCGCAAATGTTTATACTCTCCCTTTTCTGTCAGAAGCCCTAGTATAATTTACGCTAAACTACTTTGGGAATATTCTTCTGAGCATTGTTACCGGCTTTGTATTAAAACGTAATAGTGCACTGAGCAACTCTGCGCCACTTTCGTCACTCGTATCCTCTCATACAAGGGCATTTCTTGCCACTTGGAATTTCGTCCGAAATCCACCAACGATCCTCCCGAATGATCACGTTGATCACAGTCAGAACAAAGAATGGCTCCCAATCTTGCTGCCTCTGAACTAGAGCTCAATTGGCTACTGCAACAATGGAGAGACGATCTAGGTGGGGCTAGATTCTTGGCCAACATAGGTAGGTCCATGTTCGACCACCCTCAGTTCCCAGTTTCGCCCAATCAAACGCTCTCAAATTTGCTCCCGAGCTGCATATGACACGTCAAACCACTTCCTTCCCCTCTTCATTGACATCCCTTTTAAAGAAACCGCAGCCTTCAATTTTGAAAATGTAGAAGCCTTCTTTGCTCGGCTCGTATCTTTTTATTCTAATTAACGGTGAATCGCGATGACTGAGCAGCCCCCATTACGTCCATTGCTTCCCACAACTGCTGGAATCACGCCCGCCCCTTATGTGTCGAACGATGCCAAGCAAAGACGCCGATCTTTAGCTTGCACCTCTTGCCAAACAAAAAGAACAAAGGTGTTAATTCTATCACATAACTATCTCGCTTGGAACTTATTAATGATAGTAGTGTTCCGGCTCATCCCCATGCGATCAGTGTGTAGCCGTACACGCCAATTGCATATTTGACGCAGGGCGAGACAGGCGTCGAAAATTCGCGTTGAAGAAAGCAGAACAGACCCACGACACACTTACAGTTCTACGTCAAAAGTTTCCGTCAACCCCACCACAACCGAAAAATATATAATCGATCGCTCTACTTTAAATTCGAACCACGCAACCAGACCGACCTTAAATGACATAAAATTTAAATGATAGCTCCTTCCAAATCCAGCGAGTCGATAAAAGTTGAAATTATTACTTAATATTTGGTATACCACCCTTGCGCAGCAATTACTGCCTCCACCCGCCGCGGCATCGATTCAATCAAGTTGTCAAAGTAATCCTGCGATATCTCTATCCACACTTGCTCGATAAGACCTTTGAAATATCGCCTGATCTCCTCTTTAGTACCTCTATAGCTCTCGATATGAGGGTCTAGCTGATAGATAGTCTCTTTAAGCCTCATCCAGGCGTGTTCGATCGGGTTCAAATCAGGCGAGGCAGGATTAAGTGTGACGATTTGATCCTGATTCGGGGGTAGTGAACTCCGTCTGCGCCGTCCACGTGGCGAAGCCATCCTTGAAGGAATTGTTGGCTTGGGATGTTTGTCTATATTTGAGGGCTTAGACTGCTATATAATCTCTACTATTATACTTAACTTACCTAGACAAGGAAAATCTGTCTAGTACACCTTAAACCCACCCGGCATCAAAGTCTGGAAGACCCTGTTCGGATCATACTTTTGCGCAATCGCCTGCAGACGCGCATGATTCTCCGGCCCGTATCCCGGGAAAATAGACTGAAACGCGGCTGCATCCCCAATGTAATTAAACGCATCGTACAGCCCCGCCTCGAAGGTCGCGTTGTTGATCGCATAAGTTGTCTCCTCAATCCATTGCATGACGATGTCATTGTACTTCGAGCCAGTCCACTCAACTACCTCCGCGTAGGCAAGGTACACCTTGGACGAGTCGAGACCGAGCGCGTTGCCACCAGCCTTGGCGGAGGCATCCATCCAGAGCTTACCGATAGGCTGCCAGTCAAGCTGGATTGTGTGGATGTTTCCCGCGGGGACTTGGGAGTAGAGCTTCGGGAGGCGCTGGAAGAAGGTGCTGTTGATGATGCTGATTCCGCGGTGGAGGTCGTCGAAGGTCGTGCCAGTTACAGTACCGGCGACGAAGACGTCACTATCGAGGTTAGTTTGGAACAGTAGTCAGCTGGGGGAGCGTACTTGATGCCATCAAGGACCATGCCGCCGAGTTCGGTGGCGAATTGGGCGACAGTCTTGAAGCCTAGGTTGTTGGCGACGGCGGGGATGTTGGTGAAGGGTTTGAAGGCTTCGGGGTACTCCGTGACCTCGCTGTCGTAAAAGAGGATTGCAGAGGCCAGGGTTGCCGTTCCAGGAGCAGGGACAAGGGCTGGGACGATATGCGTCTTGGGGTCAGAAATGTCCGCCGCGTATGTAGCAATTGCCTTGTCCGTCAGTCTGACTGCAAAGCTTAGTTATGCAAGAAAGGAGATACCTTCAAAAACTCATCGACATATTCCTCAGCTACAGTGTACGCACCAGCCCACACTTTCTTAGACTGAATGGTCTGCAGATCGAAGCGAGTCACCAGACCAAAGTTGCTGCTGCCGCCCTTCAGCGCCCAGAAGAGATCTGGGTAGCTGTCCTTGTTAACTTCAATGACAGATCCGTCGGCCAGAACAACTTCGTAATTGACCACGGTGTCGCATCCGAAACCGACTTGGTTGCCGTAGAAGTTGATGCCTCCAGCGAGAAGCAGGCCAGGGACACCGACGGGCCCAAGACGGCCACCCGCGACAGCTAGATTATAGGGCTCTAGGTAGGAGTATACATCGGCCCACCTGCTTCATTAACTCAAGTCAACAGATATAAAAGACGGAACAACGAACCGGTACGCAGGACCAACGGAGAGGAGCGACTGGTCAGTCGACAACTCCAGGGTATCCAGGAAGGACATGACGATCAACACGCCATTGTCGATATTGTTCGAGCCCTACCTTGTCAGCAATCGTCTATATTTCTGCAGGTGCTAGTATACGAACCCGAATACCCATATGTCCACCGCCACGCACAGCGAACTTCGCATTCTTCTTGGTCAGAAGCCGAATCCCCCTTCCCAGATCTGCCGCAGAGGCGGGGCGAAACACGCACGCGGGCGACATGATCTCGGTATTGGACCAGAAATTCGTCGACTCATCTTTGTAGACAGAGGAATTAGGGTAGAACACTGAGTCAGAGAGTTTGCTCTTCAGCGTGCTGCAGCCCTGGGAGTCCGCGGTCGCGAAAGCAGGGAGGGTCAGGGACAGAATGCCCACCAGGGGCAGGGCAAAGGCGAAGCGCATGGCTAAGGTGGTTTTTTGTCAGAGGGCGTATGTTAAGGGAGAGAACAGGAGAAGGAACGACGCGAGTGATAGGTACAAATACGTCGCGAGAACGGCAGAGGGGAGCTGTTGACATCCCGAGTGCTGTGGATTCAGTGGAGCGAGCACAATTATACCCTTTGAACGACTCACAAACGAGGACTAGCTAAGATAGCGCCATGGAGAAGGCTCCACGCGTGTTGCTCGGCTTTCAAGTTGCAGGCTTCGCCCCTTTATTAGCGGCCTCCATCTATTCATTCCGCTTTCCAGCGTGAAGCCGGTTGGGGTTGGATTCAAACTATGGAGGATGATACGGATTCCACGACCCGGCATCGTTGCACGTGGCAGCTCAAGTATACAATCTTAATTACTATTACGTACTGTTGCTAATCGTATCATCCGACATCATCCCGAGTCAGAGCCACAGCGGATGTAGTAGTGGGGTAGCTCATTTTAAAGTTCGGCCTAGTCTAACTACGGCTCCCCGAGTCCTTCACGTCAAACTCCACCGTGCGAATAATCCCATCCAGTTCCTTGGCCTGCGTGGGCCCTGACAGAATATGCTCTTCGCTCGAGTTGTCCGCGCCCGACTTGAACGTGATGGAGTACTGATGGCCATGGCCTTGGTTAGAAGAGACTTGCTGTCCGCTGTGTGGGAACGATTGTAGGGGGTGCGAATTCGCGCCAGACTGGGAAGTGTATCTGCTGCCAATGCTGTGCGAGGAGAGGCCTAGCAGACGGGGGAAGTAGCGCCGCACGAATGGTCGCATGGCTGTCACGCAGCCTCCTGTTATTCCTAGGTTGAGTTCGATGACACACCACAACAAAGCATTCACCGTATTCCCTGATTTGTTAGTCTATGCAGTGATTTGACCGGGGGTGCCATACAGGTCAAGTCGTCGTCCATTAGCAGAGTGTATAGACTAGCGAGACGGATGCAGCTGACAACACCGACGCTATTCAAGTTAGGACCTGTGTAAAACCATCGTTGGATATACTCACAAGCACCCCATGGCTAGAATACAGCCCACAGCAATCTTCTGCCGCAGCGGCATCTGGAGTCGCCGCAGCCACGGCCTAACAGGTCAGCCAGAGCCCGAATGGCAGAGTAGCTACGTACACTGGAACCAGGACTGTAGCAAAGTCGGTGCTGATGCTCAGAGCTGCGTTCGCAAAGTAGAACACCGGTCGGTTCATACACGAGCCGTGAGTGATGCTGACATCCCAGCTTTTGGCGATCGGGTTACAGCTGAAAACATTGGCCAGTACACTGGCAACATTGTAACTCGCGGCTGTGAAAACGAGCACCCAGATGGCGATATGGAAATTGCGACTCGGGAAGATGCGCATGTAAAATAACAGCACTGACACTTTCAGGAACCCGGTGCCAGCGCAGTACATGATAGCCGCGACGACGTTGAGCTAATTTGTCAGGCGCTGCATATGAAAGATCATCAGATACCGTACCTTCAGAAACATCGGAGACAGATCCGCAAGAAGGACATCCCACATATGAACACCCAGTCCCCAGTTAAGCACTACAATGGTTAGATGAGTACGCTACGAAAGTCGAGGAACCACGTACTGTCCAACGTCACAGCGCTCAGCGCACACGATAATAACTATCCCCTTTAGCTAGCGAATATGGTCCCAGATAGGGCGCGTACAAATGCGACAATCATCAAATCTGTCAACTAGTTAGTATCAGATGTTCATGGTCGGGAGAACACTCACAGTCATCCCAACGAAAGCCACGAGCAATGAACATCCGAGTCCACACGCGAATAACCAACGAAATGAACGCGATGGGCAGGAAGATGCAGTTCACAATCACAAACTTCGTACCACAGTATGTCGGGTTCACGAAATTCGACGTCTGCCCTTCCGGTGGAGGCACCGCCGGCACGAGGATTGCGTTGGCCATGCTGTAGTTGTATTGACCAGCTCATTCACGCTCAAGCATAAGGTTCTCGGGTGCCAGATCGATTTAAAGAATATCTCCGAAGTCAGCACCGACTGGAGGCAAAGTTGGACCGCATTAGTCATGAGCTTTCTCCACATCATTCGCGAGAAGCCCAACCCCGGATCCGGAAAAGGTTCAATAGTGTTAGCTGATTCCATGGGTCGTGATCTGTGAAGGATCCACAACTAGCGCTTTCGTTTATGAAAAAGACTTTATGTCGTGAGATGAAGCCCTGTTGCTCAAGAGCGTGCCTTGCTCTGGAAGAGGTACGATTCACAATTGGGCAGGTTCTTGTTTCCGAGCGACTGGTATTGGTGACATGAGCCATAATCGCAATCGAACTAATGATATTGTGGCTCGATCGACAAGGCCATGGTGAAGCTGTTTAGTGATTTTGAATCCTCGGCAGATACTCCACTCACACAGCAACGTGGACTAAGATTCGAGAATTAGGCAATTCAGCAAGATCCAGGGAAAGCCACACGCCGTCGCTAAAAACATTGTCGGGCATACGATACCGCTAGGATTTCAATTGATTTCAGCATCCGCTCGGTACCGCACTTTTCCAATCCAGCTCAGTTGTTTACCCCTGTATTTGATGTACTTGTCGAGCATCTCTGCTGGATAGAATTAGCCCTCCATACAAGCAGGCACGCAGCAAACAGGTCAATACGAGTCAGTACGTTGGCCTGGATTCTCCGACAAATATTCATACCACAAATACGGAACCCCCTAGTTAGAATAGATACAAGTCTGACAAACCAATTCGAGCATGATCAAGCATTAATAGATGATCTGATTGGTCTCTCGTCTGAAATGCTTAGAACGAGGTCTGAATGGCGATGATCTTTTTGTAATAGGAATACTCCAAGCAAATACCAAGATGCAGGGGTATCAAGCGAGCTTATATCATTCGCCTCCGGCCAACGTAACTACTAGTGCCTAGAATGTGCCATTAGTCACGTGTAACGACCACGAGGCGGCCCAACTTTGTAAGGCGGCAGGACCTGGCGTCTATCCGCATTGCGCAGTGGGTGTGTTGGATGCAGGAGCCCGTCAAAGTCAAAGCCATCGCCCACTTTCAAGTAACAGTGACAACATGGTCATTTGAGGACATCGTCATGGCTCGAACGTTACCCAAACGACGGAAATATGTAACGGAGAAAGCAACTTGTCGGAGAACGCGGTGGGCATAATATTCGGTACGCAACCCACAGAATATGAAGGTCTGATTCATCGAATCTATCAGCGAAGCTGCACTAAATACAGAAGAAATAGGGGTAATCTAACTAACTGAACTAGGCTACGATAACTAACTAAGTAGTTAAATGACTGAGCGGGCGCTGACTAACGGTAAGTTCGGCGGTGAAGCAGAATACTAGTGGCCACTAAGGATCGGCACACCCGGACTTTATAGACAGAACATCCGGGGAACTGAGGTTGTAGCCATCTGTTCCGATCGCGGAATTTGGTAGATGCAGCATCCGAACATATCCGGGCATCCTGCAGGTCAGAAAGGCCGAAGATACACCACAAGCGAGCCTTTTAGCCAGCTTAGTTGCAGACGCCAGGACTCTCGCTGGTACTTTATCTTTCCTGACCCTAGCAGGGAGCCTTGCCCGGTACCTATGTCAAGTAGCCCTCCGATTGAAGGCCTGACCCTCTTTCGCGGCCTGGGCTGCCCGCACTGCCCCTATGTAGCGCGAAGCGTCAATGCTATGGCCAAGCATTATCAGAAGAGCCACAGAGCTCCAGGGACCACGCGTGCTGGGGTCCGGCCCCGTGGTTACCACCCCCGTAATCCGTGGCGGCCGCTTTCCTGCCAGCGTTTCTTTCCTGCCGCGGCTGGGAGCAGCTTCTTCACGGTCAAGCCCCCCCGCCAGCCTTAATGGGAATGGACTAAGGCGCGTCCGGCTGGTCTCCGAGCCTGAGTTTGCTCGCGCGCAGGTCTTGAGAGACCTAGAAGATCAACAGGCCGAGGCAGAGGCAGCTAGTGGACTGATCCCTGCCCCCCAGAGTGCAACTGAGGTCTGTCCCTGGCTAGACCTAACCCAGTGGGCCCGGTACGTGCAGGGCCATGAGCTCGCAGTATTCACCCAGCTAGCCGCCCTGCCTGATCCAAGGACCGAGTCGCTACTGGCCACCTTGGTAGACCGCGTCCATCATCTAGTTCTCCAAGCTTGCCAGTCCATTCGGGAGAAGAAGGTCAATGAGTTTGATCTAATGCGCATTAACAGTGTCCTCCACCGGCCCCGGGTCTGGGATCGACCCCTGTTTATTGACGTCCAAGACGCGACCCGGCGGCGGTATGGCCAAATCTGGCAGCGACTAATCTGCTTTGCCTACCGCTCAACACGGTCTGATGCACCCGCCCGGCTCAGCCACCGGCTCACGCGCTCGCAGCTAGTATGGCTGGATCAGATGGTTCACCATGCCAGTGAGCTCCAGGGCCACGGGCGGGATGACTGGCCAGAGGAAGTCCAGAGCATGGCGCCTGACAATAATCCTACCGCAGTGACCCAGAATGGCAGGGAGCACCAGCAGAGAATAGCCAAGGCAAAGCTAGATCAGGCCTGCCTTCATTTCTCCATCGCGGTACTGGACCATAATCTCTTAGGGGATCTCTTCGAGAGTGTGGTGATTGGATTTATGGCTGTATTAGGCATAAATAGGGAGAAGAGGGTGTTCTATGATGCATGCTCCTACACCTCAAATCTCTCTGCACTTGTCAAGATCGCGCAGCTTGCGGTGCGAGAGTGGATGCAACCAACGGTTCAGACTGTCGACTGGCGGTCATTTTATGCCGGACAGTCGGCCGAATCTGACCTGACGGTCGAGATAGTGGTTACCCATGCCTGAGTGCAAACGGTCATCTTCGTTCGGGCAAACGCTTCGCGCGGACGACAGCCTGGTGTCACAGCCCGTTGTGTCGCGTGTGGCACCTGGCACCCGAGTACTAGAGCTCAGGGCATTTCCGATGATCTCCAGCGGATGTCGAGATGGCTGCCACAAATTCTGCAATCATGCGACCGGAAATCGTGTCTGATATTGATATTTCTCACAGGGCGTGCAAAGCACGGGGTTACCAGAGGTGAACCCCGCCCATCCGATCGCCAGCCTTACGGTTGGCCGTCTCTCGTGTAGCTGCGGTCGATTCAGAGCGTCAGTCACTGATCCAGGAAGCAATTACAGCCGGGGGTGGGTGGAAAACAGCTAACCAGGGCAATATTGGATGGTGTTTGTTGAAGGAGCTCTGGTCAAACGCGGTCCACCGCCGTTACGCCACTTCCAGGCCGTCCGGCAGTCTGAGTCCCTTGGAACGGCATCCTTTGCTCACTGGCTTTGGTCCGCCCGTTTGAGGACACGTCTCGAAATCTGCGGAGCGGGCGAAGGGAGACGGGGATCGGGGGAAATTGAAGGGAATATTCACATGATAGACGACCTCATCTTGAGGGTTCCGAACGTTGTGCGAAAATGTGCGATGACATGCCTGGTCAGTGACGCGAAGGATTGCCCGTTGGAACGCGTCGGGGCGAAGTGAATGTTTGTGGAGGGGACGCACGAGCCAGTCACATGGAAGGCCATCTTACATAATGATCATCCTGCTTGGCAGGGACACGAACCACATAACCGATCATGTGAGACGACGGAAGGGACAGCAACAACCATCGCAGAATGTATGCAACCGCCTGTCGGTTAGCTCCCTGGGCTGTTGTCCCGTGTATATGGGAACTCCCCGGATAAGTCGTGGCGTGCAGGGTTGTGGGATCCAAGCTTCGGGCAGCTTGGATGGATACGTCGCTGATGGGAGATTTAGCCTGGCCGGCCTCTTAAAGCCTATCGCACGCGGGACTTTACATTCGGAGCACAAGATGCGCATTCAGATGACGATTATCTCCGTCCCTCATTTCCCCCTGCGAAGAACTACGAAATTCACCTACCCGCATTGCCCGATTGACCGGCCGAGCGAAGTTATTCGCGCGTATGTCACTCATATCAGGCGCTGAACACCGACTTTATAGAGTATTGTAAGATAGATTAGAACCAATATGCGAATCGATGAGGTGTGATTTCGGTCTCTGGGCATCGAATCGAGGGGAAGGGTGTAGCACGCACCCTGCTAGTCACACTTGGTGATAACGATGGTCATTGAATATATATATCTTGCTTCCATGCTGGACGGGAGGGACTTGAAGGAATAGGATAAGCAGAAGCTGCTGGATGGGCATAGGGAGCCTCATTGTTCCTGCACCGGGGAATTATGGTCGAATCCAAAGTTGTCATTCTTGTTTTGGCGCGTTCGAGTTCTAAGAATGACCCCAAACTTGGGCCCCCCTGTTGAACTTCCCAAAGGATTAGTGGCACTATCGCACGGCCCAGGAAAATCGAACATGGTAGAAGCCACGATCGGCGGGCCCCTCTGCTTTGCCCAGGCTATTTCCATGTTTACCTACTCCGTACACATAAGATAACTTTCTCATCTACCGAAGAACCAACCACAGGACTGCAAGGATTCTTTTCTGCTCACGGGTCGGGGCAGAAGATCCTACAGCCACCGGTCAATGTGGGAACCCGAGTGGAACGAATTGACCAAGGGCAAGCGATGTTTGCAACCAGTCAAACGTCGACCGTGTCTACGGAGATCGGGCCACGCTGGTAAAATGAAGTGCAGCTGCTCGGTGGTTTCTGCTTGCCAGAGCTGCAATAGAAAACCCGGGCGAGAGCAGATTTAGGTCAAACCGGGAGGTGAGCCACGTGACTACAGATAGGTTGGGCACCGGAAGAGAAAGCAGTCAGTCACGACGCAGAATAACGTATGAGCCTGAGATTTCGCCGAGCCCCTCTCCAGACTCGGCTCACTCATCATCCACCATCCGACAATGGACAGAGGTGTGTTCTTTTCTCAAGATCGAGCCTACAAGGCTATCTAGCCTAGAAATGTGAAGTGACTAGATCCAGAAATGGCCGACCATGGAGCTTTTGCCGAGATCAACTTGTCGCCAGCCACGAAAGAGCTCTTACAGAGCTTGGGTGATTGGACTGCCACTGCTGAGTTCAAAACAGCTAAAGAAAAGAGTTGGGAGACCTGTTCGGACAAGAATCGGGAAATTGTGTTGAAGCTTTACTGGAGCAGCCCGAGATCAAAGATAAGGTATGGAGGGATAAATTCTTCCCCATGCTACTTTATCCCATTAACTGCAGGACGATTCACGCTTGCGTTTGGGGGGACGTTCCAGGTAGGAGGCCGTTGCTTCCGTAGCGCAGATGCTTATGTCTGACGGAGGTAGTCCGGAATGGATAGAGCGAGGAGGTTCAGACATGACACGCGTTCCACAATGCTTATATAGGAAATACAGTGCATCTCCGCGGCAGAGAGAAGAGACTCTCATATTCCTTGTACAATACTACCCCACAACGATATGAGGACATGGGATGTTCACCAGTCACCTGAGGCGTCTGGCTTTTCTAAAGATACGCCGGTCAGGTAAGGAGAACGATTAAGACCAATGTAAGGGCCATGAAAGGCCAGCAAAGGGCAAAATGCGCCGTATCGTCGGTCGGTGCATATTCCCGGGTATCTACGTGGGATTCCATGACCTTTCCCCTGGTTAAAGATCGGGTCGATGAAACGAAAGAAATGCGCCTGCCACGTACATTCTTGACTACCTTCCCATTCTGATTCTATCTGACAGAGGAACGTCCCGCCTTCACTGTAGTGGCTCGCCGCTACGCGACGCCGGCGATTCTTTGCTGACGGCATCAATCCAGCCTAACTTATAACTATAACTATGCGAAGGTGAATGGTACGTTTTGACTCTGGGTTTTATCGACGCAATCCCGATCCCACTGTGCTGCTACCGTATCGCTACTACACTCTCGAGAATTCTGTCTGTCGGTATGAAACGGCCGAGGTGCTTCTGTCGTTCGCGATGGCTATCTTTACGGCTTCAAGCTGCTCTACAATAAAGCGGCTTATCTCGATCGACAATGCCCGAGGGCAACTACTAGTTTTTGCTACCGGACTCATCGCCGCTTTCACCATACCTAAGAGATAAGAACACGGAGAATGAACGCCAACGGCTGTCACACGCCCCCTCACCCTACGAGTTCTGCAAGACAAATCCGGCGGGCTGCTCTACGGGATTAGGACAGCCTGGCCTTCTCGAATGCAAGAGCGGTCCTGATGACGAGCGTTGCATTCAGTCGCAAACTACGCTTGTGCGGCCGTGAACGTTTGTATGGTGGCGGGGCGTGGGCATGAGAGGGAAGAAAACGAGGGTTTCGGGAGAGCGACGCTGTTGTGTGTTGTGGTTTACTATGTGGCGTCCCCTCTTCGACTACGGAAAGGTTCGGACAGTCATTATCCTGCTACCTGTTCAGTACTACAACTCTACAGTACCCTACGTGACTACTTTACTCTCGCGGAGGAATCGGAACGGCCATGAATCGTCAACTCTTCTACCTCGACTATGTATACTAGGGGATTTGTAATGGATAGACCGGGCAGACGTGACATCTGCTGACACTCCCGCTAATCAAGGCTGCGCTATGAGCCCGGTCATGGTGTTGCCGGCGCTATTTCACGAGTAAATTCTCTAGTCGCTCCAGGTGATTGCTCGGGTTATGCTCAGAAAAATCACGCTTTCATGGTCAGTTATGTACTGTAATAGGGAACCTCTGTATTCATAACAGGTAAACAGTAACAACATGCTCCGTACCCGAAGGAGTCAAACGTCTGCTCGGTTTGCCGTCTCCGTTGAGTCTCAATCGGGATAGGGGCCATGGTATCCTAGAGGACTACCACCGTACATTGATATCTGCAAATACCCAAGGACATTCTCCAAATTCGAACCGGGCTCATGAAATCGGAACATCGTTGCTTGGCCCTGATCCCCGCGTGAAAGAGCTCCAGGAAGGTCGGGCTGGGTTGCAGGCGGTGTTTGGTCAATAGCAGTGGCCTTCCGGTGATCATGTGTTCAACGCCTCGATACGATGGAGATGGTTGAACGCCGACTCCTATAGATCTGGAGTCTCTTGCTCGGCGCAATGCTGAGGCGTCGCGGTGAAGGGCTAATCGAGGGGGTGAACCGGGTATGCACGAAGCCTTCGAGCCAGATATGATAATAACATCATCGAGATTTAGATGCGTATTGACTGGCGCATAATTCCACCTTCGGAAGATATCTGCGATTGCGGAGACTGCTTGCATGTCGGGATTTCTGTGCTGGCGGGGGAATGTATGATAGCGTTGGATTGCTGTGCTGCTTGCTCTTCCCACCGACGAGCGATTCTGCAGGCCTCTTTTCCGTGATTGTCGCATGTCATCAATCTGGCTGCGTTCGTAAAGTTCATCGCCCGGGCTTCCGGATTTGACTCCTCTTCTGACAAGGTCAGCTCCAGATGGGCGGTAAGCCGCTTGGTGAAGTCAATCGACTCCGGACATGCACTTCCATGGGGCAAGGAGACGATACACCCTTCACGGTGCAACGGGTTGATCAAGGCGAGAGGGGTGTACAAGAAAGACATGATGGGCAGCTCGAGTAGGCAGTCGCAGCGACGATGTTTGACCGAATGATGCAGCAGGGGAAGGTCTTATTTATATCCAATCCACCGTGCGGAGGTCCGCGCAGGAAGTGTGTGGGCTTGAGAAACGCAGGAACCCCGCTGCTTTTTGTAGGAGCGCACAGCCCCTTGGGATCCTCTTAGTAGACCCTAAGAGCAATCGCTATATTCATAGGAACCTGCTGGCTCTGCGAACCATGTATCATGCTCCGTAGAGCCACCCGCTTATACACAATGGTAGCCTGCGTACATTATATATTTCTTATCCTCGCACCCCAATACATCAATACCCTCGA